TTCTATTATTCTCTGAGTCCTGGCACTGTCCAACTGCCTTGATAATTACTGTTCCTGAGTACTGTGATTATGTTTCTTGATTTAAGAGAGTATTTTTTTTCATCACAACAGACTGTCTAAATAAAACTGAAAGAAAATTAATTACCTTCTCAGTGTCTCCACTTATGCTCTAAGTACCTAGCTATCTATGTATCTAGGTATAGATAATTTCATATTTGGAAAGTAATTTAAAATATAAAATGTTTCATTATCCAAGAGTAGTTGATCTTATGGCTAAGCATAGTGGACTCTGCATTAAAATAGTTTTAAAGTAAATATGCACTTGGTCAATTTGGTGTCAGTTGGATTAAATCAACCAAGAGTTGAAGAGTGGATAAATAATGGTAGAATGAGTAGCTCTTTACTTATGAAATTTATAGAAAAGAAATTCTGAACTAAGTATTTGATCAGAATAAAGGTAATAGCATACTATTCCTTCATCTAGTTTATAATTGAAGGAGTTTATGTTTTCTAATTATATTGGTTAGAAGAAATGCTCATGTTTATCTTTCTAATTTAATCATCTCTGTAGAAAACATTAGTGCTTCCACACTCATAGGAACTGATGGCTTGAATTTCTGTCTTGTTCACATTATAATTTTATTATTTGCGCTATGACAGTAGCCCAATGTTTATTAACTTCACTAGAACTTCAGAGTTGGATGCAGGCTCTCGACTCAATAGTCTGTTTTCCAGAAGTCTTCATACAAACATCTTTTTTTTAATTAGATAATTAAGTAATATTAATAGAGAATATATATGTATGACACAAATGCCAAGAAACAGAGGGATGTAATGCGAAAAATAAGTTTTTTTTACATCCCTGTCACTCTGATGTAATTCCTTTCTGTGGAAACATCCAGTTATAAGTTTCTTCTTCCTTTTTCTAGAGATACTCTATGTAAATAGCTAGATAGAAATTCTCTCTTTCTCCATATATATGTTAGCATTACATGCAGGTATATATTTAATAAATAAATATTCATGAATTTTACATAGAAGATACCTTAATTATATATTCTCTTCCACACTTACTTAAATTAAAAATCTGTCATGTGGGGCACCTGGGTGGCTTGGTCAGTTAAGCGTCCGACTTCGGCTCAAGTCATGATCTCGCAGTTTGTGGGTTCGAGCCCTGCGTTGGGCTCTGTGCTGACAACTAGCTCAGAGCCTGGAGCCTGTCTTCAGATTCTGTGTCTCCCTCTCTCTCTGACCCTCCCCTGCTCACGCTGTCAATCTCTCTCTCTCTCTCTCAGAAATAAAAACATTAATTTTTTTTGAAAAAATCTGTCATGTAATTACTGTTGAAATAGTACCTATAGCACTAAAGCTGCATTTAGAAATCAACAGGCTCCACTGACCTTAAGCTAGATGCTTGTTATTTGATTACATGTCCTTTTTGTATTCATTAGACTTTGTTCAGGTGATCAGTGGATCCCTTTTCAGTGTAGGTATTCTATATATAATGATAGGAATCAAAATTGTATCTATTATCAGAATTATAAAAATCAGCATTCCTGGATCTCTTTATAAACTTGTAACTTGAAGAACTGCCACAAATTAACTTAAGCTTGCTCTTTGATTTTTGCAATGAATCATGTAAGATACAATAGTGATAACTGAATAGACTGTAAATAATTTATTCCCTACATGGCAGCAAACATTTTCAGAAATGTTTTTATTTCTTTGTGTGTAATCACAATCTAAAAACCAACTTTAGTTTTTTGGCACACTGTTTTCCTACCAGAAACTGAATATGATGCATGTTTATATCCCTCGTATTATATTTATACAACCAAATCCTGATCTCGGTATACCTTTTATTGAGTAAATTGTTGCAATACACAGCTCCTGTCACACATTGAATAATGGTCTAGAAACCCTGTCTTGATTAAATACCCATATCCTACATTTCCATTATATCGAGCTTTTAAAAAACAATTAAGCAATATTTTATAACATAAATTTCTGTCATTTTTTGATGTAAAATATCAGTGACTACAAGGACACTGTTTTTCTTATAATTTCAGTTGTTTCAGAAATAGAGAAAGTGAATTGCGTTGTGTTTTGGGATATTCTACTTAAACCTTGTACAAAAGCAAGGCATGTATCAGATAAATGTAATATACCGTCTTTAATTATATAACCTTTTTCAAAATGTCGCTGCCTCTAACCACTTCCTTTGACTGAAATATAGTCATAAGGCAAACAAAAATCCCTTTGTAGCTTCTTGAATGAAATTTTCTCACCTATCCCTATACGTTTTGCAAAATCTGTTGGAGACTGGTGTGAACACTTTTTTAGGATATTCTGGTGCCCTCGGGTAAAACATCCAACTGTTAAATCCCAGTACCTTGATATACCACTCACTACAGTCCTCTTCTTAATAGGTCCCTCGGTTATCTGTCTGGGTATTTGACACCTAAACCACAGCATTCCAAACACCTAATAACAGGATACCCAAGTAATCCTCCAGAACTGGCTAGTCAACTTGCTTACTGTCAGTAATTTCCCCTTATACGTCAGTAGTTTAATGGTAGGCCCATTCTGAATGGGCAGTCTTTGAATCTCGCCACCACTATTTGCCTCCGTGAAAATTACTTAACTGCAATGTAAATCAGTTTCTGTTACCTTTAAGGTTGGGGATGATCAAATTTTAATAGCACTAAGCTGTTGTTCATGCAATGAATCTATCCAGTCATTTCATATAAATAATTTCCAGGATTTTATTCTTGGTTCTTTTGCCTTACTGAGTCTGTTTAAATTAAATGACTTCACATTTCACAAAGAATAAGCTATGTACTTGTGGTTGATTTGGGAATGTGAAATAATTCTTAGTTTGTCTCCTGGTTTCCTTTTTTAATTCCTACTAGGTCACATTCGTGTGTTCACCTTATATTATAGCTACACTAAGCATTTTTCAAAGCTTTTCCACATCTCTAGTCAGTGTGCCCTAGAATGTTCACTTTCTTCCTGAAAATCCTAAAATCATTCTTCATTTACCAGCTGAAGCATATTAGGAGCAAAACTTCTACAGATTCACTTTAGTGAATCTGCGAACTTCCCCACTATCCACCCACATTTATTGTTTCTGTTTTTAATATTTAAAATATTTTCCATTAAACCTGTTATTCATATACAACATAATAAAGAAAACTAGAAAATTTATAAGTGCACAGCCTGTTGAATCATCACACCTATGTAATAACCAGTCAGGCCAAGAAGTAGACAAATACCAAGACACATTAGATATCCATTTCCCTACTCTTACCTCAAGTCTGTGAGTATAACAGCTTATCTGAACAGTTTATCCCTTTAAAAAATATATAGTTTAGTTTCTTCCTATTTCTAAAATTTGTAGCTAAGTTATGATTCCCACCCATTCATTTTTCAAATTGCTAGTACCTCTACCAAGAACTTTCCCAAATATTTCTCTCAAATTCTTTTTCATGTTTTAGAAGGATATATTAACAAGTAACCCAGAAAAATATGATATTGTTGTACTTGCTTAGTCAACTTGATTTGTATATGTAATATTCTCTGCAATTAACTTTAAGACCCTTTAGTTTAGCAGAAGTACTTTGTTGGGTTTTGAAAGACTCGGGAATATCTACCCTTAGGAATGACAGCCTAGATACTGACAGCCCAACTACAAATATGAAAGAAAATGGTGTTGTGTAATTAAACTAAAAGGTTATATTTATTTAAAGTTTTGTTAGAGAGGCTAAAAGGTCAGAGAGCTGGTGACTTCTTCAAGATTACCAATTGGTTCTGTAGCTATTTTCTTGATTGTATGCTAACAAATGTTTGCGGGTGTGACAGATTTCAGAGTGAATTCACTTTCCTTGTATCATACAGTCTGATAGCATGATTGCAAGAAGTAGGTGTAAGGACACAAGTCTAAACGTCTAAACCAAACTGACTCCATGACAGGCTTTAAGTTTCCCCTCTGAACTAGAAGGCCTGAGTTTCAGCTTTCCAGAAACTATCAGGCAGTTACACATTGCCCAAGGCAGGAGAAACCACCCTTGCAACACCCAATCAGGAAAAGCCAGCGACCACCCTCCACATTACTAAGGGAGAGGCCTGGGGATAGAAACTATAGATAGGACCCTGTTACCTAATGTTAAAGTTAGCCTGTTAGCCGCCGAACAAGACCCTAGGCTCACTCTGTGATTGGGTGAATTTAAAGGTACTCTAAATGTTGTAATTGGATCCCGCCAAAAGTAAGCATACTCTAGACAATGTGTATGGTCAAACCTGCTGTCAATGATGTTGAATAATTATGATTGGATCACTGTTCCCATGTCACAACTTCTGTAACTCCCCCATCACAAACCCCATAAAAACCCTACTCTGCCTTTGTTTGGGGCTCTCAGCACAGATCCACTGCATTGGTGAAGTCTGTGAGCCCCAACTTGAGCCCGTAATAAAGCCCTTTGCCTTTGCATGCGTGACTCGGTCTCCCCGGTGGTCTCTGGTCGGTGAGGATACTGCGATCTGGGTATAACAGTAGGCTTGTAATAAGATTTTTTAAATATCCATTAAAAGGGAACAACTCTTACTTAGGTCAGTCCACAACAGCACATCAAGCCAATCTTTGTTTATCAAGCTTTACCCTCCTCTCCCCTCTTGCCTTGATTTGTCCTTACTAATAGGAAGGTTATTTTTCTTAAAGATCTTGAATTGACCACAATTCCAGGACTTACTTTATATCCAACTAAGGTTAACTCTGCTCCCAAATATCAGAAAGAAAACGTGGGGTTTCACCATTCTGACACAGGTCCTGCTTCTCAGTGACTTGAGTTGCCTGCTGGTAAACTAGACCTGTACTTTGTCATGGACATTCGTCCCCTGCTAATGTGATGTTTTGCTTGTTTCAAATCACTAGGCACACAGCACCCCATACACATTTAAGCCATCATCCTTATATTTCCCCCAAACACTATAGTCATCCTTACCCAGATGCTCAGGAAATTCAGTCTTTTGTATTGATCAGGAGTCAATCATCACCCGGAGGCTTATATCTTTCATGGTGTGCTCCTCTTATCTGTGTCTTTTCCTCCAAACCCTCCAGCCCATCAGAGGGTGCCTCAGATTTGAACAATGGAGTGGGAGGAGTCAGTGTCAAGCCTTATGTTCCCAGGAGGCTACTTGCTCTGCAGTGAACAGCTCCACTCCTACCCTTGTAATAGCTCTGCAGCCAGAAGACATTGTAATGAGCTCCCTTTGTGAGGACACAATAGGTCCTTTTACACCCTCACCCTGGCTATGTGTGCCTTCTGGCATAACATTTGCATGAATAAAAAAGGAAAATCATATATCTTCTTAGCAGATGATATGCAAAGATGATATGCCCCAAGGTGATGTGCCCCAAGGTGACTTTCTTGACTTTAGATATAAAAGGACAAAGCAAAACCTGACATAAAGTATAATCTCCTGAGAGCAATAAGGCAGGATAGTCTGTACCTATTCTTTTCCCATTTCAAATCATCCTGCATGTTGAGTGATTTATTTTCCCTCAAATTAGCTTTTTAAATACATCAATATAAATACTAAAATATATTTTTTGGAAATTATATTTTTATCATAGAGCTTATCTAAATGATATTATTTACTAAACTTTTAAAATGAATTATATACACATATATCAAAAATCAAGATTTTGAAGGAAAGAAAATGACTTTATTAGGTAACACCTAAAAGAATATTATGTATTATAGGTTTAAAATATTTACAGGTATTCAGCTTTTCTGTTTGTGTCTGCATGCATGCCAACACCCAAATATATCTGCATAAAAGATTATCTTAAACGCTTATCAGTTATACCACTATTTGAACACTTTGAACATATTATAGAGAAAGATGTGCCTGTGCATTATTAATTTATCCACTTACATTGAAAACCCATTATTCAGCAAATTTTTTTTATTGTGTTACTACTTGTGGAGGAAAAACAAATTAGAGAGCCATGGTCTGACATATTTTAAAACTCTAAAAATGCTTTTTGAGGTATTCAAGCCTTGGTTTTATTCTATAGATCAGTATTTTCATTCCTGGGTGGTCTCTGCATTGTCCATTACCTAGTTCTATAAGGACAGCCTGATCAATTCCAGGATTGTTTGTGGATATGCCTCTCAATTTTCCAGCTGAAGTTTTCAGCTATGTCCTAGCTCCAGTTAACAATTCTTTCAAAAGAGTATCTTTCTAGGAGGTAATTTCCAGTTTCTGTCATACCCATAGACATCAAGCTGTGTGGGTGCGCATTGGCCACAGAAAAATAGATCTCTTGTTTCTGATTTTCTCAAGGTTACAGTCTTCTCCATTGCCAATAACCAGGTTCTTACAATGTGCCATTTTTGAATGCAGTAACAACAGAAGTCACAGTTTCCCCACAATTTCCTTAGTTTATCTTGATATCCCAGGGTCTTCCTGGTTCAGAATTCATGTCAAATTTTTCTCTCTACTGTTGTGAAATATTATTCAAAGTTATATTAACATATTAGGCTAGACTTGCATTGTATTTCCAGTTTCTGCTGTAGCGTACAATGCATATCCACAAAGCAGAGTTTTCATTTTAACACATGGCCAAACCTCAAAAAATACCATTAGAAACATTTTCTTCTTTTCCTGGGTATATTCACATTCCCCATAATTAAAAACTCCCTTTCAGGGTCTGCAATCGCTGATAAAATGCAATGTTCTTGGACCAAAGTAGTTTCAAAGTCTATACCATCTAGCATGATGGGAGAAGTATTAAACATAGTTGTCCTGAGAGTCACTTGTTGAACTGGCTAGAAACCAGGCTTCCAGGCTATGAGATTAGTAAGAAATGTAGAAACTTAGAGGTAAGATATAGGTACAGTGTAAGGATAAGTAAAGTTATCTTTCTTCATTTCCGAAGAGCAAGCTGGTAGTTTTCCCTCACCAAGACTTCCTTCATGTTCCCCTCAACTTGATTCAATTTTATAGATAGGTTTCTTCCTAAGTTTAAGCTCCTTGCCTCATTTTTCTCTGAGCATTTACTTTAGGAGATTCACTAAGTAAATTCTTTCTCTACCCATTGAGATGGAAATCCCCTCCCAGCCTCCTGCAGGTGTTATAACCCAGGATTGTGTTTCTCAAGGAACTGGAGTTATCCCTTTGAAATGTAATTTTAAGAAAGGTAGAGCCCCTGTCTCCAGGTCTCTGTGGGAGGGAGGAGCCTCACTTTGATAAATACCAATTAACAAGCATACATGGTCTAATCTTATTGACCTGCATCCCCAAAGTGTCATCTACTACTTTTTCAGTAGCTGAACCCAGCACATCTAAAGTGTCCCACATTTTCTTTCAGCAGAGCTGAGTTCAATCCCTCCTTCCTATTATAATAGTCTTGAGTAAAGTCTCTCTTTCTTAACTCAATCAGGTATAATTTTTCTTTGGCATTCCCTTCCATTTTTTCTTAAAATGTTTCTTTGGAAACATGTGAAACTGAGTCCTTAACTCTGACCAGTGGAATAGAGATCTCTCTGGGGACTGAGTTTGTTTTCCAGGTTTTACAGTATAGAGATATCTCCCAGTTTGCCAACCAAATGACCTCTAGATATGTAAAAATGCACCACTGACATTAAATTAGTTCAGTGGTCTCTCAGGACATGTAAAGAAAACTGTTGGGAAGCATCGTTTGGGTCCCTCAAGAAGATCAGAGAATTTATTTTTTATTCAGCTGTACTGTATGAAGTTTCTGAGGTTTTATTCTAATGTTGTATTCCTTTCTGTGCCACTTTACATGCATGTTATTAATGTTTACTTAGGTAAAAAGAATAATGACTTCAAAAACATGCCCCAGTCCTAATCCCCAGAACCAGTGAATGTGTTAACATAGTAATAAGGATTTTGCATATGTGAATAAATTAAGAATTTGAGAAAAGGGTTGCCCAGATGTGCTTCTTATGATCACAAGAATCCTTGTAAGGCAAAGAAAAGAAAGGGGCAAAGGCAGAAAAGGAGATACATTTACAGCTGCAGAGGTTGGACTAATGAAAGTCAAGGAGTCCAGGCATTTGGGCAGCCTCTAGCGGAGGGAAAAGCCAGGAAACAGCTTTTCCCACTAGAGTCCACAACTTATGCAGCCCCACAGACATCCTGATTTTAGGATTTCTGACATGCAGAGCTCGAAGAGTGCCTTTATACAGTTTAATCCACTAAGTATATGGTATCCTGTCACAGCAATAAGAAATGAATATATGCACTCAATAATAAGTCGTGTTGGTGCAGAATCATTAGGTTGTCAGGATTGTTTTATTTTCCTGGCAAGACAGAAATATTGGATGTATAATCATATGGTAAATGGAAAGAACAGCCTGCAAGCTCCGGTGATAGTTGTACTGAATGTTTGTCTACCCTCAATTTAGACTATGCAACTCTAACTCCCAAGATGATTATGTTAGTGGGTTAAGACTAGGAGAGGTGATTAACTCATGAATGGGATGACTGCCTTTATAAAAGAGATCCCAGAGAACTCTCTTACTTGTTCTTAAACTTTTTATTTATTTCTTTTTGAGAGACCGAGCATGAGTGGGGGAGGGACACAGAGAGAGGAAATGCAGAATCCTGGGCAGGCTCTAAGCTCCAAACTGTCACCATAGATCCCGACACAGGGCTCGAGTCCTCGAAACCATGAGGTTATGACCTGAGCCAAAGTCAGATGCTTAACCCACTGAGCCACTTAGGCACCCCACTCTCATTCTTTTTAATACTATGTAAGGACACAGTGAGAAGATTCACTTCTGTGAATCAGGAAGTGCTCCTTCACCAGACACTGACTCTGCTGGCACCTTGGCCTTGGGGTGGTCAGCCCACAGGGCTATGAGAAATATATTTTGTTGTTTTAGCCACCCAGTATATGATGCCTTTGTTCTAGCAGCCTGAACTGACGAGAAGACTGGTGTTTCATCATTTCTTCCATGGTGCAACTCTAGACTTACTTGTCTTTTCTTGGTTAATTATTTAATTTTAAATTTTTGTAGTAAACCCCTTTGGTAACAGTGAGCTAATAAAAGATAGTACATTTTAAATCAAATATACATATTGCATTTCTTTTAAGACAGCTCATGACCGACAAAATATTTGTTGACATTAGCTACTGACCATGACAGAAAGGGGTAGTGGGCATATCACTGAAGTCATGATAACTCAATCTGCTGAATAAACATCACCATCCACTTCGTCAGTGAGTACTCATTGTAAAATGTGGTGAAAATATTGCATGTTCACCTGTAGAAGTAACATTTTCATATCACACTGAAAATTCACTTTTTATTTAGGTCAAATGATTCTTTTACTATATTAATTTTGTTCATTTTTTAAACAATTTTTTAAGCTTATTTTTTTTTTTTTTTTGAGAGAAAGAATGTGGGAGAGAGGCAGAGAGAGAGAGGGAGTGAGAGAAATACCAAGCAGGCTCAGTGCTGTCAACACAGAGCCAGACATGGGGTTCAAACCCATGAACCATGAAATCATGACTGAGTTGAATCATGACTAAGTGGCTTAACCGACTGAGCAACACTGGCACCCGTTGATCATTTCAATCAAAGTTTTCTTACGTACTTAGAAAATTGAATTGGTGTTTGTGAATTTATTAACATAAGAAAATATTTGCAAACAGGTAAAGGCAGATAGTTTTATAACTATATCATCTAACCCATTAAATAGAAAATTGGGTAGCAGCAAAATGCCTCAAATATATTCATCCAATTTATGAAATAAAAGTAAAGCTTTTGAAAGTAGATTTCATTAAAGATGGATTATATGGCATTTTAAAATATGTTATAACATTAGATAAAAGTTACCTCAATAATAAAATTACTTTTACAATGATAAAATGCATTCTAAATTTGGTGAGGCAAATGTCATTGTAAAAACATTTTTTATTGAGTCAGAAAACTATGGATCCTAAATGACTTTGCAATATGTTTTGGTAAATACATAACTCTTGGTTCTATCCAAGCAAGATGTATTGGTCTAACAATTGTTATTAAAAGTTATACACACACACACACACACACACACGTATACCCGCACATGCACACACCACAACTCTTTCTTCCTTATTTTAATACAAGGAGCCTAATGCCGATGTTGAATACACAAAAATGCTCCAGAATGTTAATGTTCATTTTCTCTTTTGCT